GCCAGTCAAGGGAGCTGTTGGAGGTGGTGGGGAACGTTGGTGTAAATCAATGGGTTCTAGTATGACACATGCCACAATCCTTTGTTTACATAGCTGTTCTAACACACCAGTTCAATGGTACATCAGGGTTAAAGAGTTAGTTCAGGGTGAGGAGGGAAGTAATAGAAAAATTTTGTTGCTAATGTTATAGATAAAACTTCTGTTTACTCTTGGGTCTGAAACTAGGTTAGATAGGACAGCAAAAACTAAAATTTTCTGACAAAGTCAACTACAAATGTGAGTCTTCAACAGCTTCCTTTACAATGCATTTTAAAATCTAATTGGAATATTGTGAATGTGTGATATAGTAGTTCAAATAGTTCTTTGTAAATAATCAATCAAGTGTCTTTAAATGAAATAATCTTGCCAACACCTTCTGCTGCAACTTTTAACATCCAATTCGGCGACGCACACACACAATTAATTTTTAGAGCTGATGCAATACTACTTCAAGGTACAAGGAGTTTAACCTGCACTATGTTGAAATCTTCACCTTGGCAAGAATTTATCATCTGGATTTCTATCCAATTTAAATGGCATTGGTGCTAAAGTATTACATGCGACTAACTAGTTGTGAATTTGCATACCACATGTTCTGTAGTAACTCAGCAGAAAGTCATATTGTTATTGATCAGATAAAAAGCCTTAATTCCTATTCTTCCAACCTATTGTTTGACAGACTCCAAACCTTACTATCTGCTCTTACCATTCAACCTGTCCCTTTTACACCAAGGGGTAAATTGAGCTCACATAAATATGTTTTAATACAGTTAAATGTAAATGTATATATCTAGGGACTAAGAATGTAAGCCATACTTGCAGGATAGGGGCCTCTATCTTGGGAAGCAGTCACTCTGAAAAAGATTTGGGGGTCATTGTGGATAATTCATTGAACATGAGCTCCCAGTGTGATGCTGTGGCCAAAAGAGCTAATGTGATCCTGAGATGGATAAACAGTGCAATCTCAAGTAGGAGTAGTGAGGTTGTTTTACCTCTATGTTTAGCACTGGTGTGATCACTCTTAGAATACTGTGTTCAGTTCTAGTGCCCACAATTCAAGAAGGATGTTAATAAATTATGGACGGTTCAGAGAAGAGCCACAAGAATGATTAAAGGATTAGAAAACATGCCTTATGGTGATAGATTCAAAGAGCTCAATCTATTTAGTTTAACAAAGAAGGCTGAGGGCTGACTACAAGTATCTATAAGTCTATAAGTATCTTCATGGAGAACAAATATTTAATAATGAGCTCTTTGACCTAACAGAGAAAGATAAAACACGGTCAAATAGGTGGAAGTTGAAGCTAGACAAATCAGACTGGAAGTAAGATGTACATTTTTATTGGTGACAGTAATTAACCATTGGAACAATTTACCAAGGGTCATGGGAGATTCTTCATCACTGATAATTTTTAAAATCAAAACTGGGATGTTCTTCAAAATAATTCCTAGAGCATATATTTTAGAAGTTCTATGGCCTGCTATCCAGCAGGTCAGACGAGATGATCACAATGGTCCCTTCTGGCCTTGAAATCTATGAACCCTTCATTTCCTTGTTTCCTTGATTTCACCTAATTCCTTCCCTTTCCTTTATCCTTCATCGCACTGCTTCTGGCCAATTTTCCACTGCTTTCCATCACATTTTGTTTCCACTTGAATACAACTTTCCTTTCTAATTACTGTCCTATTTTCCTTCTCCTCTTTTGCTCCAAAATCCTGCAGCATGCTATTCATTCTCATTGCCTTTACTTCCTCTTCCAATTCTCTTCTTGATCCACCCCCAAATTGGATTCCATCCTCCAAAAACACTGACCTCAGTGAAATCAGTCAAGGACTCCAAGTTACATCTAAGGGACGCTTCTCTATCCTCATCTTCTATATCTCCCTACTGCTTTAGATATGGATCACCCTCTTTTCCCAGCTTCCATGACCCTCTGTTTTATTGGTCCTCCCATTCCGTGGACCATTACTTCATTAGAGCCATTATTTTCACCAAATTCACTTATCTTCCCTGCATTTGTTGGTGTCCATTAAGCTTCCACACACTCTACCCTTTACTCACACCTAATCTTCTCCTACTGTTTCAACTACCATCTCTGTGTTGGTGAATCTTCAAGTCTCTCTCTGCCTAGTCTCATCTCTAGATGCCTCTCAGACATTGTCTTGGATATTCAGCTGCTTCTGACACCCAACCCGACCTCTCCAAAGCAGAACATTCATTTTTCTGCCTATTCCCTCTTTTTTGCCTCCAATTTCTTTCTCCATTATTGACTCCCATCCTTTCTGTCTTCTAGGCTCACAATCTTGGTGAAATTTACAACATCTCTCCTACTGAAGTCTGTAATCTGCTCCTGTCTGACCTCACTGTCTCACTTCTATGCTCTTAAGTCTATCCAGAATTAAAAGTGATATTGCCAAAGCAGACTCTGAAGAACTTCAAAAAGATCTCACAAAACTAAGTGATTGGGCAACAAAATGACAAATGAAATTTAATGTGGATAAATGTAAAGTAATGCACATTGGAAGAAATAACCCCAACTATACATACAATATGATGGGGGCTAATTTAGCTACAACGAATCAGGAAAAAAGATCTTGAGTCATCGTGGATAGTTCTCTGAAGACATCCATGCAGTGTGCAGCGGTGGTCAAAAAAGCAAACGAGATGTTAGGAATCATTAAAAAGGGGATAGAAAATAAAACTGAGAGTATCTTATTGCCCTTGTATAAATCCATGGTACGCCCACATCTTGAATACTGCGTACAGATGTGGTCTCCTCATCTCAAAAAAGATATACTGGCATTAGAAAAGGTTCAGAGAAGGGCAACTAAAATGATTAGGGGTTTGGAACGGGTCCCATATGAGGAGAGATTAAAGAGGCTAGGACTTTTCAGCTTGGAAAAGAGGAGACTAAGGGGGGATATGATAGAGGTATATAAAATCATGAGTGAAGTAGAGAAAGTAAATAAGGAAAAGTTATTTACTTGTTCCCATAATACAAGAACTAGGGGCCATCAAATGAAATTAATGGGCAACAGGTTTAAAACAAATAAAAGGAAGTTCTTCTTCACACAGCGCAACTTGTGGAACTCCTTGCCTGAGGAGGTTGTGAAGGCTAGGACTATAACAGCATTTAAAAGAGAACTGGATAAATTCATGGAGGTTAAGTCCGTTAATGGATATTAGCCAGGATGGGTAAGGAAGGGTGTCCCTAGCCTCTGTTTGTCAGAGGGTGGAGATGGATGGCAGAAAAGAGATCACTTGATCATTGTCCCTCTGAGGCACCTGGCATTGGCCACGGTCGGTAGACAGGATACTGGACTAGATGGACCTTTGGTCTGACCCAGTACGGCCATTCTTATGTTTTAAGTCACCACTGTCAATGAAGAGGGTTTAAGTACAAATCAATATGTATGCATAACAGGCACACACACAAACTTCTGCTTCCTTTATTATGGTTACCATCTGACAAGAGATATAAATTAGTAATGGGCATTTGCATTTTCGGTGTGGGCCTGTCCCATGCCTAGTTGCATTCAATAAGCAATCCAATAGTTATTCTGCATTTCAAATTTACTAAAGCTAAGAGTTGAGGTGCTTGGCTCCTTGCAGGAGGGAGCCTGTAATGTGGTACTGGATAACTATTACTGAATTCCCCATAAAAACTGTACACTTTAAACTATTTTTTATTAAGGGCACCTCTTCACTACCCGCTGGATCGGCGGGTAGCAATCGGTCTATTGGGCATCGACTTATCGCGTCTAGTGAAGACGCGATAAAATCGATCCCTGATCGCTCTGCCGTCGACTCCGGAAATCCACCGCGGAAAGAGGCGGCAGCCGAGTTGACGGTGGCGCGGCAGCGGTCGACTTGCCGCCGTCCTCACAGCCAGGTAAGTCGACCTAAAATACGCAACTTCAGCTACGCTATTCACGTAGCTGAAGTTGCGTATCTTAAGTCGACCCCCCCACTGTAGTGTAGACCTAGCCTAAATCGGCAATCTCCTGATGACATCCAAACTTTCCATTTGCCTTTCACAAAGGAATGAATTAGGCTAATTGAAGTTCTCTCCTCAATTAGTGACATGTAAATATAAATCAATTCCTTTTCTACTAATTTTTAAAGAATTTTAAAAGTTAAAGTACCCAAGTTCTTTGGAGTTTCACAATGCTTGGCAAATGTAGCTAGGGGCTAAAGTAAAAATCTTAAGAGGAAACTTGTCCCCCTCCAAAGTTTGCCTGAATTTCTCTTTCCTGTCTAATTTTTAAGAGAGTATCTTTGAAACTGAAGATTCGTGCTTTTGCAGAATCATCTTCTAGCTTATTAACTCTGTCATTTATTTGTCAAGCTTTGTAGACACATGAAAGAAGCCTCTTAAGAAGTTTTAAACAACTCATCTTTTTTCATGTACTAAAGAGCAGACCAAATTTTAGCACTGCATGTGAACTGATAATTAGCCAGCGGTCGATAAGCACACTGTGCTGACATATGGATAAGGTGAAAAGCAAGCAGGCAAGTGAGTTCTTAAGAATTTTACCCTGGGCAAAAAGCTGAATTCTTTGATGTGCATTTGACAAAGGAATTGAAGAGGAAGATTTTACTCTTTGCTGCCATCTTGGACTTCACCATTAAGTAAGGAGATCTGTCTTACCTGCACTGAATCCCATGCTATGTTTGAATTCACAAAAATTAGAAGATCACTTATTTACCAATTTTCCCTCAATTAAAAAAAAACCCCATAAGGATAGCTGTGTCTATTTTTGTGGAAACGAATAGACAAGGCTCCTAACTGGGACACTTTTACAGTACTAGGAAGGTATAAGTTACTTTTTAAGTATAAATTAATGAGAACAAAATCTTAAATATTGCTATCATTCATTATAAAATAAAAGAGAAACCGTGGCATATTAAAACAGACACCCCTTCTCTCTCACTTTTCTTCTCTTTATAATACACTAACCTGGTGCAGTAATCTTTTCAGTTTTAGTAACTGAGTTTTTACAGCTGTGCAGTCTTGAACCATATGCCGAAGAGTCATTTCATCAAGCATCACTGTGTTCTCCCGTAAGCCCACCAACTGTCTAGGAGTCTGGTAGATGTTTGGTGCTCCATAGCCTTCAAAGTGACCAATAGGAGGCTCTAAGTGGCTGGAGCCTCTGAAAGAAATATTTTAGATAAAATCAAGAGCAGTCTTAGTCTAGAGCTAAAATCTGTGAGCTGTTTTTTTAGTGAGAGAGCATTTTAGTATTGTGTGTATTATTAATGCTGTAAGCAATTTTTAAAATTGCAGAGTACTAAAGTGCATAGCTACACTTATTTAGATTGCTGAGTGGAGAAAAACGTTCACAAAACAAAGCCAGTGTTATCCTGATATAAAATTCTGCATGTTATTACACATCTGCAAGAAGCATCCCACAAACTAATTCAGTTCCCAGTAATCCAGGATCAGTTCACACCTGCACCATCATACAAGCAACATCTATACAAGCTGGCTTGCAAAAAATGCCACACTATTTACTCGTTAATAAAATAGAAACACTTTTCCATGTCACATGACAGCTACTGGAACAATGAAACCAGCAAAAATTTTCCCTTGAACACATACGCTGAAATTGACTGTGCATTTATAATATTGTTTAACACACAGAAACTAGTTCCAGCCTCGGGAAAAATATTTGCATCTAAATTACAACCCCCTGGCAAAGATCTGAGTTTAAAGAAGGGAATGTTAGACCAGTACCAGTATAAGTGTCATCTTCTCTCAAAAAATCTAATCATGGGCACACCACTTCTCTGAAAATGCTATAACCTCTCCTTCATCAGAAGAAACCACGCATCAGAATACATTAATTTCTAACAACTCCCTCAGAAGAGGTGCAACACAGTCCTTACCTGCTCAGGTCATTTTTGCCATGTGGAAAGTGGCCTGCATGGCCCAAGTGATAGTGGTCTTGTGCACTCCAACGCTGCGGTGTCCTCTTCCAGAATCCATCCTGCTGCTGTCGCGTATTTCTGTCTTGTCTATCATAACGATTCATATTTTCACACTCCACTACACAGATGTTTAAAAAAGTTATGTACATAACATAGTCTAAAGGAATTCACTACACACAAAAATACAAGTAAATGTTAATCAGATACTACTAATAAATGCACAAGTACAATCTGAAACATGAATTCTTCTTCAAACTGATCATAAAAGCGAGCTAAGCTGAACACACAAGGATCAGAATTGTCATAAGAGACCACCTGTAAAGGCCTCACTTTTCATCTCCACGATCCTTTTTGCAATAACTTCAGAAGTTATATTTTTAAATAAAAATAAAGTGATCAGAACCTGCAGCAGAATCTACAAAATGTAAAACTTAAGATTTAAAACATTTTTTAGAAGACCAATTTGATATTAGAAAATGTTTTCTCTCTTTTTACTATCAGTATCATTAGCCTTTTAAGACTTAGGAACAATACTCAAAATATAGGAAGACAATATTTTAGAAAGAGGCCAATACAATGTTCTGCAATGAACAACAAATTTTCATTTTAAAAAATATCCCAAACTGGCTGTAGCCTAATTTTTTTTAGCTTCAGAAAGAATCCTTAACAATTTTAAAAATCTTTTAAAAACTTTAAACGTCTTCAGATTTAAACAGCTTTTGTCCACAAACAGTTTGAGAAGACTGAATTTGGCAACAGCTTGTAAACCACTAAAAACAAAGCCAAAACTCAACTACAATCCCTGCAGTCAGACGCCGCAAAAAAGTTAAAGTTACGAACTACTGTTCTGCTGCTAGACTTCCCTGTCACTTACCCAAAGAGTTTTTCCTCACATTGTCAGCCTGTCTCTAGAAGAGGAACTTTACACAACAGAACATTGTGTTACTCAGCTGCCTACTCAGACATAGTTGTACGTAAGACATTGATAAACAGGCCTTCCTTCCTGCTTCGTTACCAGCCTGCGTTTTGTTGGGAAGCAAGCCCAGTTTTACCCTGTGATTTAAAACTACCATCCTCACTCACTGCGTACATACTTGTTGAGCTAGAACTGTTTCTATATATAGCATCTAAGCACTATCCCAGACTCCAGAATGGAACAAGCAAAGTTTCAGTATGCCTATGAAGTATTCTGAGGGCGTTGGTATCAGTTAAATTATGCATAATCCTAAACTGACTAGGCAGCAAAGTGCATTTAAGGCTCAAAGTAATCCTAAATTAAGATATTGTTGTAATAATTAATCGTACCTATGCTCAATTTTATGAGCTACTTTTATAATCAAAATAATCAAGATACGAGGAAAAAATCTCTTAAAAAGTGAATGGTTACATAAAACAAAATATAGTAAACAATTACTTTAAAAAGCTGCCTCCTATAGCTCATTATAGAGGAGTACATTACAAAGTATAAACAAATACATTTATAAGTAATTTCATTATGATTCAGCTTTGCAAACAAAATTGCGACTCCACATAGAGTTGCCAACTTTTTAATCGCACCCTTGCTGCGCCCCCTGCCCAGAGGCCCCACCCCTGCTCATTCCATCGCCCCATCACTCATGCTCCCCTACCCTCTCTCCCTTTCACTGGGCTGCGACAGGGGGTTAGGATGTGGGAGAGGATGAAAGCTCCGGCTGGGGGTGCAGGCTCCGGGGTGGGACCACAAATGAGGTGTTCAGGGTGCAGGAGGGGGTTCCAGGCTGGGGTAGGGGATTGGGGTGCGGGAAGGGGTGACAGCTCCGGCTGAGGCCACAAATGAGGGGTTTGGGGCACAGGAGAGGGTCAGGACTGGGGGAGGGGGTTGGGTGCAGGAGATGGAGAGGGCTCCAAGGTGAAGCCAGGGATAAGGGGTTTGGGGTGCACGAGGGGGCACAGGGTGCCGGCTCCAGGAGGGAGTTTGGGTGCAGGAGAGGGCTCAGGACTGGGGAAGGGGTGCAGGCTCTGGCCAGGCGAAACCTACCTCAGGCAGCTCCCAGAAGTGGGCGGCATGTCCGGCTCCTAGGCCAGAGGTGGCCACAGGGGCTCTGCACGCTCCCGCAGGTGCGGCCCCTGCAGCTCTCATGGTCCACGGTTCCCGGCCAATGGGAGATGCAGAGATGGCGCTTGGGCAGGTGCAGCGTGTGGAGCCCCCGTGGCTGCCCCTGCGCCTAGGAGTTGGGCATACTGGCTGCTTCTGGGAGCAACGCGGAGCTGGGTAGGGAGCCTGCCTTAGCCCTGATGCGCTGCCGACTGGACTTTTAGCAACCCGGTCAGCAGTGCTGACGGGAGTCGCCAGGGTCGCTTTTTGCCCGGGCGTTCCAGTCGAAAACTGGACGCCTGGCAACTCTAACTGTACAAAATAGTTGGGGGGTAGGAAAGAGTATGAACCTTATCAAAATATGAATTTTGCTTATTCAGTTATTCACATCTGCAATGGTGTTTCCAATTTCTCCTCATCAGCACCATTTTGTTCTCTGTATTTGAAATTCAATTTTTGCATTTGTGTTTTAAGAGCTTTATAAACAAAATATTTTTAGTACCAAATGCTATTCTATTAAGGGATTCCCATCAGTTTTCCAATAAAATTCCCAGCCACCATTAGCGGAAGACCACTCCCATCGGGGAACAGTTTTTTGTCCTTTGAGTGATTTCAATACAGGTGCCACAATAAAAAAAAATGGTTATTAGCTTTCTATAACTATTGTTCTTAGAGATACATTGCTTATGTCCATTTCATTGTAGGTGTGCATTCACTTTGTTCACTAGTACCAGTGAGTTTTCCCTAGCGATACCTGTAGAGATGGCCCCTCCAATTGCCAAGTTCCTCATGCTGCAAAGTGACGGTATAAAGGGCAGAGTTGTCCCTCTCATCCCTTAGTTCCTTCATATTAGAATACTCTAGTAGACTCCAATGCATTGGGGAAGGAGAGTGGGTCACATAATGGACATATGCTCCCTATCTTAAAGAACAACAGTTACAGAAAGTTATGTAACCATTTTTCTTCAAGTGCTTGCATATATCCATTAGACTGTAGGTGACTCCCAAGCAGTTACTGTAGTCTGTGAGGCTCGGAGTCTCATCAGTAGAGAGGCTACAGACCACCTTCCTACATTTGAATCCTCTTTTAATTATGCAGACAGTGCATAATGTCTGATGAAAATGTGGATTGAGGACCACATTGCTGCTCTGCAGATGTCCATAACTGGGACATGGACCATAAATGCTGCTGAGATTGACTGAGTGCGCCATGAGTTGGTCAGAAAGTGTTGCCCCTCTGGCAGTGTTACAGAGTGTAATACAGTCTGATCCATTTCGAGAGCCTTTGGGTGGTGACTGGATGATCCCTCAAATGTTCTGCATATGAGACAAAGAACTTGGATGAAATTCAAAAGGACTTTGTCCTATCCAAGTAAAAAGCTCAATGATCGTATAGGGTGTGGAGTCTTCACTTATCCATATATGAATTTGGTTCTGGAAGAACACTAGCAGACAGACTGATTCAGGTGAAAGTCAGAAATAATTTTCTCAAGGAACTTGGGGTGTGGTCTCAGCTGCACCTTGTCCTTGTAGAAAACAGTGTACGATGGCTCAGTAACCAATGTATTCAGCTCACCTATCCTCCCGACAAAGGGGACGGCCATCAGGAAAGCTACATTCACTGACAGGTGTAAAACAAACTCAAAGGGAGGGTCCATATGTACAGACAACAAGATGCACCTAAGGACTAACCCTGACTCCTATAGGTTCAGAAGATAATCCAGGATCATTTGAATTTTTGTCTGAGTAGGGGACATACCATGGGAAGCTGGCCAGATGAAAAAAATATTTCCACTTATTCAGGTAAGCAGCTCTCGTGGATGGTTTCCTGCTATTAAAGAGCACATTCCAGACTGCAGTTGAGCCTCCTCTGTATTCAACCATGGAGGAGCCATGCCAGGAAGTCCACCACATGGTTATGTGACAGCAGGTCTCTGTTTACTGGTCACAGCAAGAGTTCTTGAGGTGTTAGTTTGCAGACATCTGAATACCACATCCTTATAGCCCAAGCCTGGCCAAGATGGATCATCCAGCCATGATCTTCCTTGAGCTTGCGGAGGACCCTGGCAGGTATGCATACAGGAGCACTTTGCTCCAAGAAAAGAGGAAGGTGTCTGATATTCATCCCAGGCTGCAATCCAGCCTAGAGCATAAACAGGAACACTTCCTATTCTGACAAGTCACAAACAAGTCCATGGACAGAAAGCCCCCTATGTGAAACAACCAGGCTAAAATGTTCGTGCTGAGGGACCATTCAGGGTCCAAACTGAATGATCTGCTCAGACAATCTACCATGGTGTTTTTGACCCTGAGCAGGTGATATACTTTGAGAGGGACCAAGTTCCATAGCTTGACTAACTCTTTGCAGTCTGATCTGACTCTTCCTTGTTTGTTCACATAAGAACTGCAGCAGTTATTGGTAAGCACATGGACAGTCTTGCCCTGAATGCAAGGGAGGAAGTGCTAGAGCACTCGGAAAACTGCACATAATCCTAGGACATTCATGTGTAATCTGGCCTCATGTGTAGTCCACAAACTTTGAGCTCAAACGTTGCTGAGATGCACTCGCCACCTCTCAAGCAACTGTTACCAGAATAACGAGAGAGAGGGGAAGAAAGAAAGGGACTTCCCTGCACAAGTTGTTTTGGCTCATCCACCAGGTCAGAGACAACAACATCCTGTCTGGGATTTGCACTAGCTTGTCTAGGTGATGAATTTGAGGGCAATAGAGTGACAAAGAGCCATGCTTGTAAGAGGTGCAACCTATCATGAGGAATGACACATGTTCATACTGTCATGAGCCTTAAGAGCCTCAGACAGTTCCTCACAGTGGTCTGAGGGTGATCCTTCAGGGACTCCTAGAGGTCTGGTATAGCATGGAATCTGGAAAGTGGCAAGAAAACTTCTGGCAGAGATTGAATCAGGTCCATCTGTTACTCCTGAGGGCATTCTGCACCAAAAAATTAAAAATTCTGCGCACAATATTTTAAAATTCTGCAAAATTCTGCAAATTTTATTTGTCAAATAAATGTGGAGGCTCCAGC